CAGAGCAATTGATTGCTCAATCTTCCTCAGTAGCAGCAAATTCCAGAGAATCAGAAAAAAACAAAACAAAACAAAAAAACCCCAGAGGGCTAGATTTATTGATTTTCATATCTGAACAAAATTGCTGCATAGAAACACATGGTTTGGCATGACGGGTGGTCTGTGCTGAGCTGTGGCAGGTCAGGGTGCCTGTGACTGTGTGCTGATGTCTGGGGCATACCTTGAAGCTTCACGGTGGGGCACGGCCTGGAAGTGAGTGAGTGAGAAAGTGGTCAGTCTGTCCTCTGTGTCTAGTTTAGCGGGCTGTCCCTCAAACTTCCCATGCAAAATCTTAAAATCATTTGTTGTCTCAGAAGGGGACTGGTGATGGGGGGTGATGGGTGACATGATAAGGAAGCCAAGGACAAAGATGCATAGGGGATAGCGAATAAAATGGAGAAGATACTGAGAAGGTCCAAGATTGCTGTTACTATTTCCTATTTCCTTCCCAATCATGGCCAGAATCTTAGGTTTCTTTGGAGTCTTTTTAGGGGAGCCTTGGAGATTTCTCCATTATCATCTCCTTCTCCACCTGCTTTCATCTATCTTGTCCTTTAGATAGTTGTCATATGAAACTTCGTTGTTTTGTGGGTCTCTACCCACTCTCATCTACCTATGATGTACTACAGGAAGACTCTCCTTGTTGGCTTCCTGCATATAGCTTATATTTACTAATTTAAAAAAATCATGTATTTATTTTTATTTTATATGCATATGTATTTCACCTGTATGTGGGTCTGAGTGAGAGTGTCGGGTTCTCTAGACGTGAAGTTACAGACAGTTGTAGGCTGCCGTGTGGGTGCTGGGAACTGAACCCTGGTCCTCTGGAACAGCAGACAGTACTCTTAACCACTGAGCCCCCATATTTACTATTTTTTCTACTTGAATATTCCCAGTGCCTTTACCACATCCGTGCTGCCTGGGTTAACAAGAGGGAGAACCCAGCAGACATCTGCATCCACACTTCCAGGGAGCTTGGCCCTCTCCTTCCAGCTGAACTCCACCCATGGTGATCTTTAGAGTAATGCCAGCTTCCTCAGTTTGGCAATTTGGCTGGCAGAGGTCAAAATTAGTTGGGAGTAACTTTCTCATTTTTTCCTGGGAAATTTTAGGTACATTCCTTTTCTAGGAGAGAAAGAAAAATCTAAGTGGCTTTTGGCAAATTTAAGAAAGTTAGACAGAAATTCAAATTTTCAAAATTTAAAATTTGCATAAGAAAATTCCAAATAAAGTTCACTGTTCATATTATAAAGTTTAGATTGGTTAGTTAAGTCTTCTGGGTAACTTAATCTCTGAGTAGCAACTTAGGCTTCTAGAAGCTTCTCTGGATGTTTAGAACTGAGGAAGTGCAGGTGGAAAAACAAAGAGGGGGGGGGTTGGTGTCAAGCCTGGATGTAGTCTTTATCACTTCTCTTTATACACTCCTGGCCAACACTCTCTACTAGGCTATATCCAAGGATAGAAGGGGCGGTGACATGTCGTTTAGCAATGTGCTCAAGTAAAAAGGAGAACTTTGGTGAAAAATTAACTGGTTGTGGGCACAGATGTCTTGAGTCAACATCTCCTTTTATGACAGGCTCTCCCTATGTAGCCCTGGCTGTCGTGAAACTTGATATGTAGCCCAGTTTGGCACTCGTGCATGCGTGAGTGGTGGAGAGGGGGAAAGAGAGAGAGAGAGAGAGAGAGAGAGAGAGAGAGAGAGTCCACAGTATGTGCCTGGAGGTCAGAGGACAGCTTGTGAGAGTCAGTTTTCTCCTTCCACTCTGTGGGCCCGGTGGTTGAACTCAGGTCATCAGGCTTGGCAGCTGGTGACTTTACCTGCTGCGTCACCTTGCCAGCTCCCTCCTTTTCTTTTACTAATCAAATGATCCTACTACATTAAGAAAAAGGATGGTAGCTTTGAAGAGCATGTATAACATCTTCACAAATCCACCCAGTTGGAAAACTCTTGTGTTTTGGTATGATGAATTGTAGCAACAAAGTCCGATAGTAAGGAAATGGGGTCTGCTTAGAGCCCGTCAAGAGATGACTGGATAACGAGATGTGGCAATACGTACACACGATGGAATTTTATTCAGGAAAAGGGATGGAACTAGAATAAGTATTAGAACTAGAACTAGAACTAGAACCAGTATTATAAATAAGGCAGTGGAGGACACTTAGCACATGTTCTTTCTCATATGTGGATCCTAGCTTCTAAATTTTATTTGCATGTATTTATGTGGGAGTGGGTGTGGGTAGAGGCCAGGGACCTGGAAAGAGGCTCATGGGGACGGAAAAGCAAGCTAGGAGGGAAGGAGTGTGACGGGGAATAGAATGAATGTGACATCCAAATGCAGAGGAAGTGTGAGAAGCAGAAGGGGGTGGAGAGGCCGAGAGATGAAGGCAGGCAGATTGGGAAGGGCCACAGAGACTATGCAAGGGGCGCCATAAACAAACCTGTTACTTTGTATGCTAAGTAAAAAAATAACATTTTCAGAAAGTATGCTGACTTTTAAAAGATACAAAGTTGAGAACGAAAATTATGAGTCTGCTATTTTTTCCCCACAGTGAAACAATCACCAGTATTATACACTGAAGACAATGCCATTACACTAGGCCATTTCGTAGGATGCTGGTCCCTTCCCATTTCTCTGACTTTTTATATCTTCAAAAGAAGTAACACTAGCGTCTTCATTTTACCTATTTAAAAATATTATAATAAAGAAACATAAAACAAAATGGAAAGGGGTGGGGAAAGGAGGGAGGAAGGAATACTGGACACAAACACATCACACTTATTTTTCATGATCGTTTGCTGCTGTTGTATAGTAAGAGATCACATTGAACTTTGAGGTCTTCCTCCCAACTCTGAAAAAAAGATAAACAGAACTTTATTTCACTATTTATTTTGACATCAAGTTTATTCTTAACTCACACTTGTACAAGCCCTGGGTTGTACCTCTGTAACTGGGGAAATGTTTGGGGCGAGCCCCTTCCTTTCTTAGCCTTGCAATCCCATTCATGCAGTCACCCTTTAGTAAGTTACAGATGAGCAATGTGTTTTTGGGAAGTTTTGAGCGCGTGAGACGCATCCAGGAGTGTGCAATAATTACAAAACAGTCTAAAAGGTACAATTAGGAATGACGGAAGTGCACTTCTCTTTTCTGGCAAGACCAGGCAAGCTTCAGAGGGAAATCTCTGCAATCTATCCAACTGTACACTTTCCCCTGGTGTCAAAATATCCCAAACTTGCAGGCATTTCAGGACCTGTGCTTTCCCTCTTGCATATGAGCTTGTCCTGAAAGTTGCACGGTGTAGTCTGGTCTCTCTGCCTGAGTAGAGGTAGGGATATAAAACGCCTTTGGTATGCAGAGCCTGCAGCCCACAAAGGTAGCTTCAGGAACTGTAGGAGTTGTCTCTTACTGTAAGTAGAAGGATTCCAATAAACCCATTTGGCCAAACACTTCCACCCTTCCTGGTTCACTGTACCCATTCAAGTCACTGTTATGGAAAAAATAGGAACAGCAAGTCCAAGGTCACAGAGATTCTCAGAGAGGAGATTAGAACAAAATGTGATCAAAAGAGTCATTATGCAACATCTTAACATTTGATTGTATGGTTTGTTTCTCTCTGTGCTCACATGAGAAGTATTTTACTAACCAAAAATGTAGTATGAGAAAATATTTTCAATAAATTAATAGCAGCTATGTTTTAGACAGGCGGTTGGAGAAATGGTCACAGAGCTAAGTTTCTCTCTTATTTCGTTTTCCTGCCAACAAACTGGGAGAAGTCATTTTACTCCGGAGAACTAGGCCTTGGGTATTTCTCAGAACATCCAAGAGGCTTTTCCATCAAGAATCCAGAATGTCATCTGTGGAAGGATGGCCACTGGCCATTAGAGTCCAGCATTGGGTGTATGACTTCCGGTCTCCTTCTCCACATGCCTGCCTGAAATCCCCAAGGAGTCTTCAGTTGCTTTGAACATTTGCAAATTCTGTGGTCACATTCCCATACCGAACTCAGCAATAGCAGATGTCCGAAATTTGTCCTGTGTGCTACAGAGTACATAGGTTTTTTTCTATCTTGAAATGGCTAAGAGCAGAATTTGAGCATGGAACTAACAGAAAATACCACATCCTTAGGACCTTGACGTTCCTTTTTTTTTTCTTTTTTTAAACCTTGACATTCTTTATTAGCTTTAGAGCAGATATTTCTCTTGAGTGTGTCTTCCCCACGCCCAGCTCAGTTCAATATTTGAGTGCCTGTCACCATTTCATCTGCATTTTCATAAGCACTTTTCTAATTAAAAATAAATGTGTGTGTGTGTGTGTGTGTGTGTGTGTGTGTGTGTATGTGTGGTCATGTGAGTCACTTCTTCCTCACCTCCCACAAATAGCGTGGGTTAAATAGAGCTGTGGGGATTTTTTTTTTTAAAGAAATCATTTTGACTTCACAATCTAAAAAGGCATCACTTATATTGAACATGGGGGCGGGGATGGGCGGCGGGGGGGGGGCGGGGGGGGGGGGGGGGGGGGGGGCAGTGGTTGGTGTTTTGTTGTGGTGCAGTTGCCCCGCCGCCTTGATCTTTTGCTATTTCGTAGGCAGGTTAAATCACAGAGTGAATTGAGAACCTGACCTCATTGTATCCTACGTGCTGAATCACCGTCCTACAACTGTCATCAGAAGGCACCGGCAGGAGCCTGCTCTCCTGAAATAAAAACGTGAACAGGCTTGTGTGACCTGTTTACTGCCGTTTCTCGTTAATTCTACACGAATATGATGAACAAAATGCCGTTTTCTCTTTCTCTTCCCCCTTTCTATTCGTCATGCCAAGGTTTGAAAAAAATCCTGCCAGTGGCTTTCATTTTAAGGTTGGGATTGGAGCACTAGCCTGGTCTCAAGTGTTGTGACTGGCCTCTAGCGGATGCGATGAGTTACATCAAGTTTCAAATGGAATGTATCTTTTTGTTTCTCTCCAGAGGAAATCCAGTCTCAAATGAAAACCCGACTGCCTGGGAGTCATCCTAGAAGAATTCGATGTTTTGAACAAGAGATGGATGATAGATTTTAATCTCTATTTTGACTCATTTTGTCTTGATTTGAAACCCCCAGATCTCAGAAGAGTTAAGGAAATCAACACTCCTGTGTCATACTATTGAAGAATTCTCTCTCTCTCTCTCTCATGATCTAACTGCTTTTCTCTGAACCACTCAATTAGAAGGAAAACTACTGGAATTCTACCTAGAGTCTTGATATTCCGGTGATGGCCCCTGCCACTCTGATTATAAACCAGGAGGCTTCTTTGAGCGTGCCAGCTTTCAATTATTTAAATGGGTAGTTCAACCAACCGTTTTTCATTCAAAATGCAACAAAAGTTAGAATTGCGTGCTGACTCGTATCCAGATGCTGTCTTCTTTGGGCCTGGCCAGCTGATGCTGCTGTTAGTTTCCTGATGTGTCAGAAACACATTTGTACTTCATGGCAATCTATAATAAAGTCTACAACGAATGTATCCGAGCAATTGCTTCCCAGACCCAGCAGACGGGGCGTGTTACAAATCAATCATTGTGTGTGCATCTCTGCACACAACCACACACACTGTGTGCCCAAACTAGGGGTGTTATTCCTTAGAGGCTTGGGACTTGAGGTTTCCATTGTTCTCTTCAGTGTAAACAAGCGCTGTTTTGATGGCTACATCTTCCATCAATATTAATTATTAAAAATCATCTTTAACGACTTGTTGATAGGATCAATTCTAAATGTTCTAGTAGTTATTTTTACCAGACTATCTGGTGTCTGGTGAGTATCCTATAAGGCTATTTTTGCCCAATTTTTCTTTCATACTTTAGTTATAAAGTTTCCTGTTTCATCTCAAAAAGAATTGGATCAGAGCAATATCCAGAATCTTTAGAAAACTAATTTCAGTAGTCTCCTGCTTCCTCTGGTCCAACTTTTCCTACCTTCTGGACCAGCAAAGAAGCTCAGTTTGAATCGCTGCAAAGCTGTGAGATTGAAAAGCTACATTCAATCTCTTGCTGTGCTGTGACATCGGGTTTGAGTTTGCAAGCCCCTGATTTTGCCCTGGAAAACTTTCAGAGCCACCTTGTGCATCCCTTGTCTGAAATGTGTCTGTGTGGCTAATTGCTCATAGCAGATGCAAACAGAAACAGTTGCTTCTGCAGCTTGAGGCTCCTTCTGCCAGCTACCAGTGGCTCCCTCTCCAGCTTCTCAGGGCAGCTTCTCTAAGACTTCACTCATCTGAGCAAATCCTCCTCTCACTCCCACACTCTCTCTCTCTGTCATCAGATGACCTTGGCTCTCATGTGCCAGACTGTTTACATAACTCTATGCAGTTCTCTTGGCTAACTGAAAGTGCTTACCTTTACAAATACCCCTCATCTCTTCTCTCCAGGGGAGGGTGAAGGGATGCCTCTTCTTTTCCAAATGAGTCCCTCCCCTGTGTCTGCTTCCTTCTCTGGCTCCTCTGCTTCCTTTTCAGGTATCTTCCGACTGGCTTCATCCCCTCAGGATGCAAACATGACATCAACTCTCCCGAAATACTGCTTTAGACTCTGTGAGAGGAGGAGAAATGCCTCCTCCTGCACACAGAGGCCACAGTGGGTCTGTAGCCAGAAGCTGCCATGAGTTTGGTCCCATGGCCTTGCCACCCTGGTTTCAGCATATTACAGTTAGGAGCTGCAGCCAACGGCAGCTCAGATGTGAGAGCCAAGACTACAGGCGTTCTGTCTGCAAGCAATAGAAAATTATTCCATATAATTTAACCTCCATAGGAAATTCAATGGATAGACATCTGGCTCACCTATCTTCAGGAGCCTGCAAGAACTTTAAAGAATAGAGTTCCCTGGAGTATCTGCATGGGGGCATGGAGAGGGACAGCAAAAGTTCTAGAGAAACATTTTCAGCTGGCTACTTCTGCTGACCCTTTGATGGACTGGGCTGCAGAGGTTTCTGTATGTGTCTGTCTTAGACCAAATGACTAGCTTGTCACTACTGTAGCAGACATGTTGGTACCACTGAATTATTTGCATATCTACTTCCCTTGTGTCTATAGAGCACTCACTAGGTGTGTGTGTGTGTGTGTGTGTGTGTGTGTGTGTGTGTGTTGGTGCTCATGCACATGTGTACATTCACAGGGTCTGAGGAGTTAGGTGTTGTTCCTAAGAAGCTGCCCACCTTTCTTCTTTGAGACAGGCTCTCTCTCTGTCACAGGGGCTGGCTGGCTGGTGAGCTCAGGGGGTCTCATGTGCCACTGCTTCTGGGATTGCAAACACCATCAGGCTTAGCACTTTTTCTTTTTCTTTTTGAAATGTGGGTGTTAGACTAGAACTCATGTCCTCATTCTTGCAAAGTAAGTACTTTATGGAACCATCTCACCATCTCCCCAAACCCGAAAAGGATGCTCGTTTTCTTTGATTATTACTATTTAAAATAAAAAGCTTTATCCCGAAACCCCACAAAATTTTTCCTAAACCCAAATTAAAGTTCAGTCATCAGTTAATGTCATCTCTCAAGTGTTGAAATGTAAATGAGCAGAGGGTGCTGGGGTTGGGGACGTCAGGTCAAAGCTGATAGGTCACTGTGATGTCCCAAAGGAGTGTCACTCATGCAAGATGGAACACCAGGCCTAGGAAAGGCTAAAATGTGGCAGAAAACAATAGAACGGGCTTGGGGGAGCAGGTGGAAACAGAAATGGAAATGGGAAGCTTATAAGGGGTGGGCAGAATCCCAGGAGGAACAGAGAAGGGAAGGGAGGATGCTCCAAGAAGGGGGAGGGCTGGTGAGTGAAGAGACAAAAGAGCAGGGGACAGAGGCAGTGAGTGTGAAAGGCAAGGCAGGGGGTTTTAACTGTTGATTTATTTGAAGGTTACGGAAAACATTGGTATGCATAGTGAATGACCAGGAAAGGGTGAATGCAGCTGTCTAATTAATAAGAGGGAAGGGGCCTAGGGGAAGATCAAAACAGGGCCCATATCAGGCCAGTCAGTCCCTGGGTTCAGTGGTGCCAGAGTGAGTGGGAATACAGAGGGGAAAGGACCCAGACATAGGAAGTGGGTCTAATACAGACTTTGGTGTCACCTTCCAAAGTGTTCTGTCTCACAGCTTTCCGGAAAGGTGGTTTGTGATTCACGTAAGCATGACCATACATCCCTAATTAACATCTCTATTTGTCTACTTTTGACCCATTGAAAGAAAATTTTGTCAATGTCACTGTTTCTTACTGTTTGAGATTAAGTTTTGTGTAGTAAACAAGGAGGACCCTAAAAGAGACAAACTTTGTCCCCTGGAGAAGGGGAAAGGGTCACGATCCCCTGAGCAAATTGAGAGCATGGGAAGAGGGAGGAGGGAGCTACGAGAATGAGAAGGGAAGAAGAGGAAGAATGCAGAGGTCATGAGGGAGCAGAAAGGTTGAGTCAGGTGTAGGTAGGGTTTTAGTTGGGGGATGGCAGGAGAAGACGGGAGGGAGAGGAGAACTGGGATTGTCATGTAATTCAATCTTGTTTGTAATTCAAATAAAAAAGAAATCCATCAATAATAAACAAAAAAGAAATAAATAGGAGATTATGTTTTGTGTTGATTAATGGCCAAATACAGCTTGAAGAGGTAATACAGCACCATGCAAACACTGAGTAACTAGATTATTTTGGGCGAACCTGACTCAGAATTTGCAGCTGTACAATTTGGGTTTTTTCTCCTTTGGCTAATGACTTTGCCCAGCGAAGCCAAATGGAAAGAACCAGCATGGAGCAGGGAGGAGCACGTGCAAGGGGCTGGCAACACGATGATGACAATCTTTCAGAGCTGAGAATCCCAGCGTCTGAGCGTGTCATTTTGCAAATGTGGAAAATGATCTTTGCGAAGCCACGTGCTTGGCTAAGGTCATCACATGGGAGGAGAACTAAGAGACCTTGTTTCCGCTTCTGCTATGAGGATAGAATTTTTAGTATGTGATAATGACAACAGGAAAAACGCCATTCTCTAGCACTGGGCAAGTGGAGAAGAGACTTCTTGACTATGTAAATTGTCACGTACTATCTACACTTTTGTAAAGCTGGCTTCTATTTTGAGAGTCAGTGAGAAATTTGAGGAGAAGAGTAAAATGATTAGACTATACTTTGGGGAGTTAGTTAATCTAGTGGGAATAGCCTTCATGACTACAGTGGGTTAAAAATAACACACACTTTAAATGTATTTATCACCACATTTTAATTAACCCTGGCTGTTTTAGTGGCATGGTCTTTTTTGTGGGACTTACATAGGAAATCTATTACACTTTCACTTGTACCCTGCCCTTCGCAAACACTACCATTTGTTTTTCTATGAAGTGGCCTAGTTTTCATAGGTGAAAATTTTGTTTGAGCTGCTAATTGTGGTTTTCTGTTTGGTGTCATGGACACTTAGTGCTCTCTCTGAGATCAGAATAAAGTCATCTCAGTGCACACAGACTGCCGGGATGAACTGCATCATGAAACAGTGGGGATTTGTCTCTCCCAGCCCTGGAGATGGAGAAGGTCACAGTCACAGCATCAGAATATTTGCTGTCTGACAGAAAAGTGCCTGTGGCCTAGTTGATGACTGCCTTCCTGGTGTATACTCACCAGGCAGAGGGACAAGGGGGCGTCCATATGGGCTTTTTGAGGGCACTGTTAACTGTTTGTCTCTGGGCAGACAAAGTTAAGTTAGAAGGCGTGGACATGGACTTCATGGATAGTCTTGATCTGCTTTGTATGAGAACACAAACAAAGCTTAACTTGGATTATTTCTTGGAAATGCCTAAGTTAAAGAGAAATGAAACTTAGCTAGGCTTGGTGGCACACGTCTTTAATCCTGGCACTCAATCGTCAGAGGCAGGTGGATCTCTGAGTTCAAGGCCAGCCAGATCTACAGAGAGAGTTCCAGGACAGCCAGGGCTACACAGAGAAACCTTGCACCCAGCCCCCAAGCAAAACAAACAAACAAACAAAAAGAAACTTAAGCTTAACCAATCAGAATTCACAGATTAACATATACAACTAAGGACTTTTTAACAAAATAGGCTAAATATGATGCTTAAACCTGGAACTCCTGGAACAGTTCCTTTGTCTTATATTTGTGTTCAGTCCATAACAGCTGTCTTTGACATCTGGGCCCCCACTTCTGGCTTGACCTGCTGGATTCACAAATCAGTGTTCACTAATATAAACTGTTTAATTTTGTGTGTGTGTGTGTGTGTGTGTGTGCGTGTCTATGTGTGTGTATCTCTCTGTGTGTGTCTGTGTCTCTGTGTATTTATGTCTCTCTGTGTGTGTCTGTGTCTCTTTGTGTATGTGCTTCATGGGTTTACTGCTTTGGAGGAAATGTACTATTAAACATAATTAACAGCTTGAAATAATTAGAGTTGGAGAGAATAAGCATGAATATATGAAAAGTTAAATAAAATACTTTGCCAAGTGGAGGCCTAATGAATACATTATGTTTTGAGGAATTTTTCAGGTAATAGCTTTCAATGCTCCC